AGTTCAGATGGGAACGTTTGTCAAAGATAAAATAAAGTCCTGCATTGCATCAGAGGCGTAGCTATACATTTTTTATAAGGGTGGCCGGGCAATAACCAATATAGACACCAAAAGCGGGTCTGCAACAGAACCTCAGGTTCAATCTACACTGTTCCAACAGGAAAATTAACAAGCAAAACATCCATATTTCCTAAATAAAGACTAACTATACTTTCCTACATCTTTTGCTAACAAATAGACGCATATATTTAAACATCTGTAATTTCTAGATAAAAGGTATAATGAATAAAACTCAGTTTTGAGTTCTGGTGCGTAAATCTTTTCCATCAAACTTACCTACTTGTATCAATAAACATTCTGCATACAATTGATATTTACAAGCACTAATATCTACATAAATTGCTCTTTTGATACGTTTTTATTTAAATGGTTATTTATTTTTGATTTCACTTTAGACTCCTAGATGACTTGCAGAGACACATTTTTTTCTCTTTATCCCATATAACAGAAATCTTGTTCTGAAAAGAGCATGAATTCTGTACTTATCATCTTTGATATTAGTATATTGATGTCTGTAATTAACTACAAAAAAATTAAATGTTTTGAATATTCCACTTGAGACTATTACTGCTGCCACGATCTGTATTAGAGCGAAATAAAAGGTAGGGGTGATCATGGCCACCCCTAGCCCCCCATCTTGCTCCGCCCCTGCATTGCACGTGTCTGGCTCTCCAGTAAATATGACTGAGCTTTAAATACCTAAAAAAAGGAAAAAAATAAAAAAATAAAAAACAAAACTATCTGTAGGTGTGTAAAGCCTGTAGAAACTCACTTAAAACATCCTCTTGCACTAACAGTGGCTGATATAAACCTATGACCCATTTTTTTTTTTTTTTTTTTCCAAATTTGTTTTAAGATAAATTTTCGTATCAGTTTTCAGTTACAATGCACTCCGCGTTGATTTACATCATTAAATCCCCAAATAAAACTTTGAAGCTTTTGGTTGTAACTTGAGCAAATGTGGAAGGAAGATTAGAGAAANTTTTTTCCAAATTTGTTTTAAGATAAATTTTCGTATCAGTTTTCAGTTACAGTGCACTCCGCGTTGATTTACATCATTAAATCCCCAAATAAAACTTTGAAGCTTTTGGTTGTAACTTGAGCAAATGTGGAAGGAAGATTAGAGAAAATAGAAAAAGTTGGAGGGCTAATAAAAGCTTTTGTATTGTTGACGTTGGTGAATGGAAGAAGGAGTCTGGCTTTAATAAGAATAAATCTTATTTTCAACAGGCTATTCCTTGGCAGTGCAGAAGTTTTCCCAGACTCTCAGTGCATTCCAGTTCGACTTCATTGGCGACTCTCTGACGGATGATGAGATTAACATAGGTAAGATACCACTATTGATCTTTAGGCTCCTAACAGGTAAGTACTTTCACCAGATATTTACCTTGAGAGGTTTTCTGGATAAAGTAGTCCAATAATTGACAAAAAATCTACTTTATTACCTATTTTATTTGATTAAAAAAACCTTCCTCCTTTACGTAACCCTGTGAAGTAGGGGAACTTCTCTTGACTCTGAGTAACCAGAATGTAAAGCCTATTCTTATGTCATTACGAGGACGTTTTTTATTACAGAGTGCATGCTGATAAGTTCTTTTTTTCCCCATCTTATATTATACAAGAGTGTTTCCGACATTGGTGTGTGAAATACAATAATAACTATCAATACTGTGATCCGGTCCTTGTCTTTTTGTTGTTTTTCCCCAGCTGAGTCATTCCAGGAGTTTGCCGGCCTCCTGCAGGAAGTGGAGCACGACAGGATGATGCTGGTAGGTTATCAGCTTCCTGCAAATCCTCCTCTGCATCCTATTTGAACCCCTTCAGATATAAAGCCGCATAAGTATTTCCTCCAATAAACAACCCCCTCACCCTGCTGCTCATCTTTTGTTTTTTTATAAAGCTCTCTGCAAGTTTAATTCTGGAAAATAACTTTATTCAGAACATGTTCAGACAGAGAAGCTGTGCGGCATCATGCAGAAACGATTAGCGCATTGCTGGTAATTTTATTTTCTGTTCCCCCTTTAGTTTTCTTGTTCCTTTTTTTTTAGTCAATGTGGCTATATGTTAGTGTTTTTCATTAGGTTTTGATGCCTGCCGCTCCCCGCTGCTAAAAGCCTCTCTGTACTAGAAGTAACATAAACTTTTAGTTGAAGTCATGCTGGTTAAACTGGGTTGTTTGAATACAGACCTGTTTTACACATGCAAATGCTGTGATGGTGGAAGCACAGAATATTTCATTAATTACTATATTTAAAGGTCATATCTGTCTAACATTTCCTTGTAGGCAAATTGTAGATCTCTATTATATAATGATAAAAATGTATTTTTACATATTTTTCTAGTCATCTGAGAACACTAGTTGAATAGTGATGGCTTATGTCTATAATCCCATATTTAATAAAGTAAGGAGTTATGTTATTAATTGTTGTTTAAGGTAGGTAGAAGAGATGTTGCTCAGAGACTTAACAAACAGCACCATGTAAAGGGATTTAAAAGTTTTCTGTAAAATACATTTTGCGCTGTAATTCACCTCAGTGTTGCTTCATCCCTCGTGAAAGAATCAAATGACAGCAGATTTTTTTGCGGGTAAAGCCATCGCCATTTGTGCTCCGGGTTCCAGCAGATCTCATGGCATCTTCTATCACCACACCTTTTTCTTTAACCACCAAACTGCTTTGCTGGGCAGCCATAAAGCAGATGTCCAAGGCAGTTTCTCAATATGTGTGCTTGTGCGTTCTCCTGTGCTCGTGAAACGTCATCATCCTCAGCCCTAATACTGTTCCAATTCATAAGAACAGTAGACTGAGAATGGACAAAGTCCCCGGATGTTGTTCTGGCCCCTCCCTCTTTACCAAGTATGCATCATAGCAGACTTGTCTGTTCTAGAGATTGACCGCTATCCCAGCATGCACTGCGGCAGCAGCAGCTTCCAGTGGAGAGTACAGATAGTATTAAGTTAAAAGTTCACTTTTCTGTTGCTGTTGTTCTATAAAAGTATGTTTTAAGATAATTTGAGGCGAGAATATTATACTTTAAAGCATCACTATATGGCCCATTTACTGATTAAGACTGTAAAAAAAAAAAAAAGCTCAGATATTGAAAAAACCGAGAAAACCAACGGACCTCCGATGCTAACCACAGCCAGGGGTAGCATTAGCCAATCTGCAACAGCCCTCTGTCAGCATAGCCGTGTGTGAAGGACCGCTGGCTCTGATGGGGATTTTTTTTGGTTTTATTTGGCAAAATATTAATTTGATTTGTGTTTATCTGACTGTGTTAATTATTATTTACTCACTGAAAGAAATTAGTGAGAATTTATTATTATCTTGAGCCGGGGTCACCAACCTTTTTAAGGCTGAGGGCTACTTCATGGCTACCGAGTCATAGGAAGGGCTACCAATACTGACCTATGAACTGGAGGGATCAGTGTTCACCTACAGTAAATCTCAACCATAAAAACTCATTTTTATTCTTATTTTATTCTTTTATTAGATCTCGTACGGTGTTTATAGACCTATATAGT